GTTGTTTAAATTTGCCAGTCGCTGCGGTAACTACCTTTGCTCATTTGACTTTTTCTTGACATTGAGACGCTGAGTGTGGGTCGAGTATGAAACAAGTGCACCCGGACCACATTCTTGACAAACAAAATCTCGCAAGTCAGGACCATGCACACCTCAGTGGCGAACCTCGCCGCTTGCAGAGTTCGTACTATTGCCTATTCGCAGGGGAATGCATGCATGCAATGCATGATTATAGTGAGGTTGCTGTGCAAAACAGTTGGAAACCAGTGTTGCTAAGACAGAGTCCAATTTCAACACCTATGTGGCTGATGTCAGATCATGACCAACTACTCCGCCGTTAAACCACACAGGCCAAGAAGAAGGGGCCAATGTTTTGAACAAGATGACAGATCGACGGGATTAACGGTCAAAAATTGAACGAAGTACATTTCAATACAGGCTTTCAAATTGAAAACGCCAGAAGCTCCGCTTCCTCGAGCAGCATTAGGCAACATAATCCAGCGGTTGGAAATACAACTACAAAATTTTATGACTAGCCTGTGACAAATCAACCAGCCAAGTTCTCGTGTTGTAATTTGGTGGTCGGCCACAACAAATTTTGAACTTTTTTAAACCATTACACCTTCCCTCCTTTACTTTTTAGCCTAACCTGCGGGGACTGGTCCTACAAGTGTATGTGCACCGTCTGCTAGCAGCACTCTATCGCGTTTCATTGCTGCTACTCTGCTTTTCTATCGGTCTCCTTGTCTGGCATGGTCGACTTATCGGTCGCGGAGAGACCAGTGTGGAGTACCACCAGAACCGCCAACTGGCTCGTCGTATGCGCAAACGACATCTAGTATTCCGCAACTACTACGACTTTGGCTGGCAACGCAATTGGATGCGTTTCCTGGGCCTCGAGGCACCGGTGGATACCAGAGTCTGGCAGACGGGAAAGAAAGTCCCCCCGCTGACCTACACCCATCGTGTATTGATCTACGTTCTACTACCTTCATTCCGCGACGCGCCCTGTGATAGTCCTGACGGCCTCAGCTATGAATTGGCCAGGGTCAGCGTGGAGACCATCCTTTCCGACCTGGCTGATCTCAGCATTAATGAGCAGTCGTCCCAGTCGAGTAAGCAGCTTCTTGAACAAGTGACAACGCGAAAATTGACCTAAGCTTCAAAGTTGCTTGTCTGATGGCATTGTAGCCAGATAGAAACATTCCCTGCACAGCACTTGCAATAATAAAAACTTTTTTTACCAGACTTAGTTTTGTTTAAAGTTTCCTAACAGGGGGCCATGCATTTCAGTTAATGCAGGCAAATATTGTATATACAATAATAACTACTGAGAAGAAGACGACTCGATCGCTGGGACAATACTTTTATTCTCCTGACGTTTCGACACCCGTCGCGGATTCATCATCAGAGATATTAGCAGAAACGGGATTCGGTAGATGCCCCTCTAATCCGTTGTCTCTAACGGGCGATTTTAAGGAACTTACTATCGAGAGAGGAAGGCTGGGCATTACGTAGCGTAAAAACTGCCAAGTGCGCGCGTCCAGGTACTTGTTCAGTAGGATGGCCGGAGGCCGTTATAATCACGCAGATTAATTGAAGGTCGCACCAAATGTTCACTTAAGTGAAGCGATAATTTCAGCCTTTCCCCATATGGCGTCCAGCTCTCATAAACGGTCTCAAGAAGCTGCGTCCGGCGTGGTGACAGCATTCACGGGGAACGTCAGGGGCCCCCGCAGCTGCGTCAGGCGGTGACACAAGATCGGCAAGACACACAGGTCTGGGATTTTAGCCAGTACCTGTGCTACCAGTATGGTAACTAATTTTGTATTTTATACTGCTGACTGCCTGTTAGTAGTTTGTGAATATTGCG